TCCTCACAGCTAATTCCTGTCCACAATGATGATGGAATTTTTACTCTACTTTTTCATAGACCCGAGTACAGGTGACATTATTCATGATGCATTCCTAGAAGAAAGAACGATATTAAAGAATTAGGTTAGTCTTGCATCGTAGAGCAATGCTAGTAGTTAAATACTAGGATCGGCATCCTACAAAACTTTGTAATCTACTTCATAGATGGAGAAAATGAATTTTAGAATTCCTGGGTTTGAAAAGCTAGAACCTGTTATTTTGCTTATGACATGTGTATGCTTTACTGCAAACTAAAGTATTGATTTGCAAAATCTAAAGTATTCGTTTGATCACTGCAAATGTTGTTCCTTATTTTAAAGAAATGGAAAGATGTATGTCCAAGAAGGGAGTTCAGTGGCTTGCCCATGATTTTACTGTAATGCAGTAGTGAGCATAAACTAAACCCAGCTCCAGGTACATCCTCTGCTACATCATCTCATGTCTCTATCCCCACAAAGGGCTTTCTTAGTTATTAGTGTTCTAGTGTTTACCTTGTTATTTTACAATTTTTTTCTACCCAAACCTAGTTCTCATGTTCATGATCAGTGATATTGAGCAGTTACGTGAACTCTGAATGCAAACAAAAGCCTAATAAGACATAAGAAGTTTGGCACTTACCACCACTAATTTCCCGTTTTCCAATTTTCTTGTGATTGTGCTTTCCTTCCCATCCCATTCCTGATGTTGAACCAACGTGCTGTCTGTGAAGTTGCAGACAGTCTGCAAAAATACACTTTTTAATCTTCCAAAGTATGTTCAGAGAGATGCCATGGCTCATAACTTCCTTAATCAACATTTTTTCATCTTTTCCTTTCTGGGTCCACTTCATTAACCCATACTGATTTTAATAATATAGTTTATGCTTTTCAATCTAGACCCCCATATAAGAGACACTTACTCTCTCTCATGTTCCTTAAACTATTTTTCCAAAATAGACTAAGTTATGAAGCTGGTACTTTCACTAATTGGTCAAACTCAATTCATCAGATAATTTTACTTTTTCATTAAGTTTTGCCTATAAACAGTAAGAATATTATTAATACAATCTATCATCCTACAAGCCTCTGTGATTTTGTTAAGTTATGACTGACCTCAGTTTTTCTGCCATCAGCTGTAGTTTCTTCAAACTTCTCTCCCAGGTTACATGAAAACTGTGTTGTTTTCAAAGCGCTCTCAGTTTTTATGG